AAGGGTTCTGTGGTAGCAGGGCCTTATCTGGGCAGAAGTCCACAGTCAACACCCGCAGCCCAGATAAAGGACCCATCAGGCCGTGCCGCTTGTGAGCTTACACACGCACGCACACATACACACGAGAATGACATAAGAGTGACGTACTCCCTGGCTCCGATGGAGCCCCTTCTGGGCCGGGTGTTTGGACCCCCTCCATTGATCCTCCCCTCATTCGCATGAAGTGAACTCACTTGCTAAGGACCCAGGCCTGTGGGAGGCAAGCTGAGATTTGAACCCAGGCGGCTGGGCTTCAGAACCCAAACTGGCCGGCAACACACATGCGGCCCCCTTTGATAAGCCAGCAGGGGAGGGGACCAGCCTGGGCCTCCAACCACCTGACATGAGTGGCTTTTCTAAACCACAAACTTGACCAGGTTCCTTCTGTGTGTAGACGCCTTCAGTGGTCTCCGTTCTCTTCTGAAGAAAATCCTAACAGCCTGGTCTAGAGCCCGACCACCTTGGTCTTGCCCTCGCGTCTGACCTTGCACAACCCCCGAGTCCCAGCATACGTGGCCCCCGGTGGGTCTATTTTCCTGTCCCTAAAGCGTCAGAACAGTAGTTGCCTGTTGTCAAGGTCCTGCTCAGGGTTTCTGAAGTCCTTTCTCAGTGGTGACAGCAGTGCCTCGGTAGGTGCTGGAGTCTCCATCCGACAGACTCGGGGGCTGAGCTTCAGAGAGTTAGGAGACACGCCCCTGGCCATGCGGCTTCCTGTCCGACCCACCAGTTCAACTGTCCACCTGACCCGCTGCTGCCATCTGGCCTGGAGGCACTGGAAAGTCACTTGGTCAGTCACTGCGGGACCCTTGCCGTCCCCCTGGGGGTCTCTCTCGGGTTCCAGTTGGTGCACATGGCTTCCACCGTCTTCTCTAAGGAGGCCGTGAGCCCTGGGCGGCGTGCAAGTGTTGGCCTCCGTGCCGCCAGCCCCTGGCGGGTGCCTGATAGACAACATCCTCAGTGATGGGAGAGCTCTGACTGGACAAGATGAGGCACGCGAATGAGGCTGAAGTCGAGGTTTTGCTCCAGATTTGCACCCGAGGCCCGGAGAAGGGTGGCTGGTGGCCCTGGGACACCCAAGCCGGCCCTGTGTCCATCGAGGCCTCTCCCCCTGCTGTCCTCTCCTCTAGCTTCCGGCGCTCACCTCGCCGGGCCCCACCAGGCCGCTCTGAGACACGACCTCAACACAGAGAGAGTTCATGGACGCGGGCATGGTAAAGGGCCCGGGTGAGTTATTCAGAAAATGTCTCAACTGATTTGCTTTTCACCCCCTCGATGGTCAGTGTCCTGAGAGCCATGGTTGCCCTTGGGAAAGAGGAGTCGTCCTGCCCGCTGTGGTTTCCAGCTCGGAGCACGTGCCCTGCACATGCCAGGGGGCACGCCCCTCTGTGCAGAGCCCCTCCTGCATTTCTGGATTCACTGGAAGAGGGCCGGGGGGTCTGGGGAAGGGGCAGCCTAGTCCAGGAGAAACCTCTCCTCTCTGGGGGGAGTGAGAACCCGGGCTCAGAGGATTTACCTGGGATACAGGACTGACTGGAGCTTCACCGAGGAAGGAGGAAATACAGTGATAAAATCCGGTGTTTAAAATTATTACTCCCTTTGACTCTGAGAAAGAAGAGAAATCACGTTCACTTTCAGCCAAGTTAGGGGATGGAAGAATGTGAAAAGAGGAAGGCCCCATGATGTTCACTAGGTCCTTCGATCTGATGAGAATCTGAGATCGTTATCTTTGTGACTTAGTTTCTTCTCTATGCCAGGTATGGTCCTGAAAACCGTAAGATGCCCCCTCTCTGGCAGTGTGAAATTAGAGATGAGAAGGCCTCCTCCACCCTCCCCATTCTGTAGTATTTAAAAGTTTCATTGGACTCACTTTTAAAAATTGTTTTTATTTTGTTCATTGCATGGGGAATAAACAATTATAGTTCACTTAATCAGCTTCCTGGAGGAGTTGGCCTTCACCGGCTTTTTTGGGTTTTTGGGGTTTTTTAAATTAAAATGTAAGATATTACGTGAATTGTATGATATTTAACTTTATCCATGTTTCATTTTTTCGCCCCATCTAATGAGTTAATGTCTTCTGTATTAAAAGCATTTTTATGCAATAGCTAAAATTAAGTGGACTTTAGTGTGAAATATGTTGATGTAAGTAAATTCAAAATACATTTAAGCTTGGTATGTCTACGAAATCAGATTAGATGAAGGTCGCCAAGACCTGAGTGGCAGGAATTGCACAGAAGTGTTAGAAGCCTTCACTCTCTTACAAGCAGGAAAGCAGGTGTCTCAGTGGAGAGCTTCACCAAGGTCTGCCGAATTGTCAGGAACAATGCAAACTGCTCCCGAGAGTGACAGGATGGGCGGGGCGGGCGGGGGTGCCGCGGGAGGATGGGAAGGGCAGGGTTGGGAGCGGTTTATGTTGGGAGGGGTGTGAAGAGAAAGCAGAGCCCGGGAGCTGCCCAGGCCCTGCGGTGTTATGGCGGCTCTGGCTGTGTTCTGTCTGCTCTGATGGCAACAGCAGAGCTTTGACAGCTTCGTGAGGACAAAGACATCACCAGAACAGAGGGCGGGAGCAATCCAAGTGCCAGCAGACCTGTAAGAGAAGAAGATGGGCAAAAATGGGATTATTTAAGCAGATCAGCGGCCGGTGGACATTGGGGCAGGGAGTCTGGGTCCCCGGGGAGAGCCTTGATGGGGGAGATGCTGCTCTTCCCTCTGTGCCCTGTCTCCGACCTGGGAACAACCAGAAATGAAACAGCAGGAAGCTCTTGTCCAGTAGAAAGTGGAGAAGCCGCGTAACCGGGGGCTTATGGGCTCTTTCTCCCTGGAGAACTCTCAAAACTAGGCAGCCCTCCCCCATCTTCATGGGTTCAAATGGTACTGCACGGAGACAGAGGGATTGCCTTGGTGGCCTAGTTGAGCAGCAGTTCAGAGACGGTGGTCTAGGACGACCACGGACTCTTCTTTCAAAGGACAAACAGTTGAAAAGGAAGTATCTAATAACTGGCGGGTGGGTGGTGGACGTCCCTCCCACCCTTTCCTTTTCTAGCCCCTGAGCCCCGGGGAGTGGACGCCAGGGGTGCTGAGCTCCCAGTCAGGTTTGTGGCCGACACTGCTGGTCCTGATGAAGTAAAAGAACATGGAGGCCGTGGCCAGGGACACCACATTTTTCGTGTAACTAGATTGACCATAGCCTTGACTCTCTAAATAGTCCGGGAGGCAGGCTGGCTCCCTCTGCCCCAGGTCCCCGGGCTCATTTAACAGATGCGGGGCCAGTAGGCGACACAGGTTTTGAGTGGAGTGGTGGGCGGCACGGCGGCCCAGTTGGCCTGGCCGGGTTCTGTGGCAGAAGACCGCAGCCCTCTCTCTGGCCTGCGTCCTGCAGATTCACCATCAGCTGGGAAGAGCAGGAAGGAGTGACCTGAGCCTTTTAGGGAAGCAGCGGGGTCCTGGGACGTACTGGCTGAGGTGGGTAGCCTGATGACACCCTCCCTCGTGGCCGCGGATTCAGACTCCACTCCCGGCTTCGTCCTCTGCCCCTTGCCCGGTGAGTGGGGGTGACCTCCAGGCCGTGGGCGGGCACAGCTTCAGTTTCATTTAGGATCCCCCAGGCCTTCCATCCCCTTGAGGCAAGCTGGCTGGGATGGCCTCCATGTTCTAGCTCGTATTATCGGCCAAGTGATCTGGAAAAGCCCTGCTTCTCTCCCCCCCTCCCCCCTCCCCTCTCCACGAAGCTTACCTTCTCTTTGCTTCCCGCCTACTGCGGTATTCCATCCCTCACTCAGTAAGTATGTACTGAGGACTGACGTCAGGTCAGGCGCATTCTGGCGGGAACCTCTCTGGGCATCCCTGGGAGAGGCAGGTGCCCGCAGTCCTGTTGTAAAGTTGACTGGAAATGAGCTCGTGAATATTCAGATAGTCGCACCGTGCTGCCAGGAGCTCCTGGCGCGGGCTCCTTCCCGCTGCCCGGGAAGGAAGAGCTCCACTTGGCGCTTGCCACCCCTGCCCCTTCTATCCACCACGGACAGTCTGCGGCTCCTTGGCCAAAGTACCATCGGGGGCCGTTTCCTCCCTGCGAACCGCCCTCGTACCCACCTAGAGGGCTGTCCTTGGCACTGAGAGGCCAGCGCGTGTGGAAACCCCTGTCATGTGGTGAATGGTCATCCGCACTCCCTCTGGGTCCTCCTCCTGCCCACCCTCCCCGTTCTCTCACCTGCCCCAGGCACCTTTAACTTCTCCCAAGCATCCTCCCCTTCCTCCCCAATCCTTTAGGCTCAGAAGCCCCTCCCTCCAGGTGACAACTGCAGGTAGAGGTGGCCTTACGAGGAGGAGGAGGAGGACGGCGAGGAGAGGGGCTTAGAGATCCCAAATGGCTACGGGGCTCCTGAGGCCAATAATGGAGCCTCGAGCTGCACTGGGCTGGGGAGGCTGGGGCGAATGAGCTGGCCCTACGGAGACAGCCCATCTCGGGCGGGGACTAAGAGACCTGGTTCCGGTTCGACTCTCCCTGACCCTGAGCAGCAGCCGTGACCTTGAGCAGGAAGTGGGGAGGGGGCGGGCTCAGAGGGACTGCGCGAAGGGGTACCCGGGTCTGCTCAGAGCAGGCCCGCCCCTGCACCTCCTCCAGACCGCCCCGCTCCTCCTCGTCCTCCGCCCCTCCTCCCGGACTCCGCCCCTCCTCCCGGACTCCTCCCCCTCCTGTCAGGTCTGCCCCTCCTCCCGGGCTCCGCCCCCTCCTGTCAGGTCTCCACCTCCTCCCCGGACCCCGCCCCCTCCTCCTGGTCCCCTCTCCCTCCTCCCCTTCCCTTCCCCCTCCTCTGGGACCCCGCCCCCTCCTCCGACCCCGCCCCCAGCCTCCTCCCCGCACTGCAGCGCGCACCACGGGTCGCGCGCCTCCCTGGCAGCGGCGCAGGCTGCAAGCTCAGCAAGTCTTGCGGCAAAGACACTCGGGCCGAGTTGGGGCCGGGGCGCAGCGGGACTCCGGGCCGGGAGCGGACGCCCCCTCGGCCGTCGTCTGCAGCCCGCCGCGCCTCACTTCGGGGATCCGGGTCTCTCCTGGCTGGCCACCCCGGTGAGTCGTACCCCCGCGCCGTGGGGGGCACCGGCCTCCGCCTCCGAAGTTTCTGCTACTGAGGCGAGGGGCCTCGGGTGGGGTCTGCTCCCGTCGGTGGGTGGGGTCGGGGAACTTTGAGGCCAAGGGGGCCTGGCGCCCGCCCCGTCCTTTGGGGGGAGTTTGCACGGGTCCGGATGAAGCTTCGTTTGGGGAGCTGGACCCGAGCGGCGAGCAGTCGGCTGCGCTGCCGGTTTGGGGCGGGAGGAGGGGGCAGGTTTCTGCCCTGGGCACCCCGGGGCGAGCTGCAGGGCAAAGGGGCGGCCGACGTCCCTTGAACCCCCGGCCTCTGCGCCCCCCGCCCTTCCCGCGTCTCCGGGACACCCTCACTCGCGTCTCGCCCACCCCTGCCGCCTGAGCGGTCTCCAACGGAGGTTCTCTTGCACCCGCCTCAAGATTCGGGGACCGCCGGCCCCGCCGTCGTGGGGGAGGGGGGCGGGCGGGGAGCGTCCTAGAGCTCCGGGAGGCGGAGACCCTGGATGGGGAGAAGGCGAGGAGGCAAAGTACGGGGATTGTCTGGAAGTGAGGGTCCGGAGGAGCTGGGACAAGGGCCGCGAAGGGGATGGAGGCGCCCCTCACCTCCTCCAAATCTCATGACTCAGCAGACCTAGGACGTCCCGTCCCACGGCAGCCCTCCGCCCCCGCTGGGCGCCCAGACCCACCCGCCTCCTGGGCTCCTTCATTTACTCTCCCGCTTGGGGTTCCCCCTTCCCCTGCCTCTATTCCCTCCTCGTCTCAGGACACCGGGTGCTTATTTTTTAACTAAAAAGATATGTGATTTATCGTTTCTCCTTCCCCCTTTTCATTCCCACATTCCACAGGTGCCTCCAGGACACCCCCAGCCCATGGTGTGTGTGTGTGAGGGGGGCCGCCAAAGCCCCATCTCTCCCCTCTGCAGCATCCTCCCCCCGCCGCTGTTAGGGTAGAGGATTAAGTACTCACTGCTGCTTTCTCCTGTGGTGGCCGAGAGAAAGCGGCACAAGGACAGAGGAGGCGGCGGCCCAGAAGGGGACACTGCAGTGGGGAGAGAGGGCTGCCCAGATTGGAGTGGGGTGGGCTCAAGGCCCAGGAAGTCCTTAGGATCCAGGGCTACCCAGAAAGACGGGAGGGTGGGCTAGGGTCTGACCTGGAGAGCTGGGGGGCCCCCTCCCCCCTCCCCCCACCCCACCCCTGCTTCGGCCCTGGGGGGAGGCTCCCATGTATAATAGATGGTCCTCGACCCACCCATCCAGCTCCCCATAACCTGGGCACTTCATCAGAGGGTGTGACCGTAAGAACAGGGCAGCCTTAATCCTCCCAAGTCATCTCCCCCTGCTTAGGTCCGACAAGTCCAGTCTCCAGGCTGCTAGAAGCATCTCTGTTACCACCAGAGAAGCCAAAGAGCCGTGCCCAGTGCCCCTGCAACCCAGGCACAGGGGCCGGTGGGAGGGGCAGGGCAGCTCTGATGCAGTGGGACGTGCCTGGCGTCCTGGTGAGCAGCGGCCTGGCAGGCACTGCAAGCTGCGGCCTGTGTCTGGGCTCTGGGGGTGAGTCAGCGCCAGGGGTCCTGGCCCGGCACGCTGCAGCCTGGCCCAGAGAACCTGGCCCCAGCCCTTCTCCTCTCCACGGCCCCAGGGAATGACCAGTGCTACCTGGGTCCTCACCCCAGGCTCCGCGCTGCGGGTGAACTTCCCCTGCCCTGCTGGCTCTTGGACAGATGACCCTGGGGGGCCCGGCTTTTTCTGACCACCTCTTGGGCTTGAGGCTCGCCCCCTCCCCTCCCTGCCTTGTCCAAGGAGGAGCTGACGCAGAGGTAAGCGTTCCACTTCTAGCCTCACGTGGACCGGGCCCTCCGTCCCCGGGAAGTAGAGCCCAGCCTGCTGTACTGAGAGTCTGTTTTGTTCCGCAGTCCAGGACTTTTTTCCAGGCAACAGTTTTTAGGTGGGGGGGATTATGCAAATACAATTTTCATTTTTTCAGCTTTGGGACCTGATACCCACCGATCAGGACCAGGGAAAGAGAAAGGTGTTAGTGTTTGTAAACATTGCCCTTTCCCTACAGAAGAGCTTGCAACTGGCTTCATCTCATAACTGGTGTTGGTTTTATCCCTGGGCAAAGCACGCCCCTAGTTGCAGACCTGGCAGGGGCAGGGAGACCCTTTGTGGAGCTGGGCCAGGCTCTCCTGACTTTGTACTGCAGCCGGAGGGCATCCTCCCTTTCACCCTCAGGCGGCTTCCAGGCAGATGCCACAGGGCTGTCCCTGGCACAGCAGAGACCTGCAGAAGCCTCTTCCCTGTCCTCTCCAAGCCAATCAATATTCCCCAGCCCCAGGCAAGTGCGACCTCTACTGGCCCCTCTGTCTCCCGCTGGGCGCTCAGCTGGGTCCCCTCAGGTAGAGGGCAGCAGGTGTGTGGGCTGGGAGCGGGTGTGGGGACGGTGGGGATGGTGGGGGAGGAGGCTGGGGCTCCTGGGCTGGGACAGTGGGACTCGCCGCCCCCTCCCTGGACAGAGCTTCCTCACGGGTGGTCCAAGGCTGTAGATGAGGAGGGACTGTTTCACCTGGCGCTGTGGTTGGGTAGTTGGACTTTCATGATGTAGGTTCTAGCTGAAGCTGGGCTCACTTTTCTTGAGCCGGACAACACAGGGTCCAGGGTGATGGGGACACTCTTTCAGAACCGGAATGGCAGCCAGAAGGAATAGTAGCAGGTGCTCACTCAGTACGGGGGCGGTGTGGTTGACATAGGAGGCAGCGAAGCATAGAGGCTGGGAGCCCTGCAGGCCTGGGTTCAAATCTCCTGGCCACTAATTACAGAGTGTGACTTTATGAATTCAACAAGTGCTTGTTGGTGAGCCCTGCTATGTGCCAGGCTCTGTTCTAGTCACTGTGGATGCCACGGTGAGCACAGCAGATGGAATCCCTGGCATTTTGGATTTTGCGTTCCTTGGGCCCGAGGCAAGTTACTTAGCTGCTCTGAGCATCACTCAGCCGTTAGTTTCTGAGAGTCTGCTATCTGCCGGGGCTATGCTAGGCAGTGGAGATTCAGTGGGAACGAAACAGACCTGCTTCCTGTCTTCATGGCACTTACACCTGAGTAACACAATTAAACAGATAATTACATAGGTAATTAATCACGGCTGTGACAGGTGTTAGGCGCACGTACAGGATGCTTGGAGAGCACATAATGGGCTAACCTGACCAGGTCTGGTGAGCTCCATCTATGAAACAGAGGTGGTAACACTCACTCCACAGGGTAGTAAGCACTCAATAACTGGTAACTGTTAACATAGCCCGCCGGACAGATAAAATTCTAAATTCTCCACGTGAACAATCACTGCACAGACAGCGGGTTGATATCCGTCATCCACTCGGTCAGAGGAGCTGGGGTCCAGTCCTGCGCTCTCAGTGAGGAGGAAGCCCGCGCGGAGCTACGGGGCTTCCTGGAGGAGTGTCACAGTGGATGTTTATTTGAGGCCGGGTGGTGACTGGAGCCAGATCGCCTGGGTTCCCTCGGGCTCTGCCACTCACCCCGACTGTGGGCAAGTTAACCAAACTCTGTTTCTCAGTCTCCCCATCAGTAGCATGGAGCTAAAACTCACACGTGTGACACAGGTTCTTGGTGAGGATTCAATGAATTAATTCCAGGAACGTGCTTGGAGCAGTGCACAGCTCCGGGAGCACTGTGGAAGCGCTTTTATCATTATTGTGTTGCCTCCTAGCGCTTAGATGGCTCCTTCTGGGTTCCGCAGCTGGACTGGGCACTTCCCCCTTGGCTTTTCTTAAAAACTCAAGGGAAGGAGCAGCTATAGCTTCCTTGGGCGCTCTTCCAGCGTTTCATCCATCTGACTTGCAGGTAGCTATTTATGCCTCCCCAGCCGTGTCTTACCAAAGCTTAATTTTGGGGAAGGATGTGTCCCAGAATTCTTCATTTTCATCCCTGCAACTGAGAGTTCAGGGTAGTGGCCAGAGTGATGGGTAGATTTGGATCCTGGCCAGTCATTGTGAGTCCGGACTGCAGGGAGCCCCTGGCCATCAGCCCCTCCCCGAAAGACGTCTGAACTTCAGCCAGGGGTCCAAAGTTACACACCAAGGAGGATCCCCAAACGCATGGGACGCAGAGGTGTCCTGAAAGCTCCCTCTCCGGATACTCTCCACCAGAGTTCCTCACCTATCTGGCCGTGGGACTTTCTGACCGAACACCAGGGTCCGGAGGTTGGATGCTAGGTCCCTTCCAGACCTGGCCGCTCAGGAAGGTGGGGTACGAGTTGCCGGGGCCATTATAATGGTTACTGAACCTCAGAGGGTTTGGTGCTACCGGGCAGCCCCCAGATTGGGGGTCGGGCAAAAGGAGAAGAAGGAGCCTGACTGCCGTTTTGAAGTCAGGACAGACTCATCTCTGGCTACTTGTCTGGGGCCTTGGAGCTCAGCGTTCACCGTGGGCAGAGCCACAGTGGCCGGTGTGGCCGGGGGGACACGGAGCTGGGTGCCGACCCGCTGCTTCATCAAGCCCTCCTCTCCCTCAGTCCATCCCCTGTGACGAAGCCTTTGCATCTCTCGTCACTGCGGTCCTCAGAACAGCCATCCCTGTCCCGTTTCACCATGAGGAGGCAAAGGCCCAGGGAAGTTATCTGACTTGTTCAGAATCTCACACCAACGAGGGGCGTCCTGGGGGCTCTCCTCCCCTCCCGCCCCTTCCCACCAACTCCGCCTGTGGAGCCCTCGACAAACACGCTCACGGGTCCTCAGGGATGAGGCCATTCATACTCTGAGCACGAGCAACAGATGTTTACCAGATGAGGGGGTGCCCCCTTGGCAAAGTTGAGTCGGCCTCCTTTGCTGGTGCTGGGTTTTCGTGGGACTTGCCATGGGGCTTGGGCAACCTCAGGAGCGCCTGCCCTGAAGGGGGCGGGGGGAGCCGTGGTGGGTGCGCCAGAGAGACGGTGGGGCCCCGGCCTCAGTAGCCTCGTCTGAGTGGGATGCTGCC